TGCACAGCCCTGCCGATGTTTCGTTGGGATCCGGAGGGTTGGTTTGTCCAGGCGTTAGAGGCCCGACCTCATCCGCGTCCGCGCCCATATCCATGGTAGCCTCCCTTATTAGATTGTGACCGTTGGACGTACTATCCGAGGTGTCTTCCTTGGACGAGTTCCTCAATGCGATCCTTGAGTGTTCGACATTCCTCGATTGTGTGACCGTAATTTCTATGGTATCGGTAATGTTTGGATTTTTCAGCACTGTTGGGGCTGTGTCCCGGTGGTGACATGGTAATCAGGTCGGTGTTACTAGCTTCCTCTAGATGTGAACTCGGGGCGCGTTCAAGGGGGTGTAGAAGTCATACTTCCCACCTTTATTCTGTCAAGATTTTTTGAATTGGTTGTCATTGGAGACTCTCATCTTGTCTTTGTGACCGTGGTCTTGCTTCCCTTGTGGCTTTCCATGGACTTGGTCATGGAATGTTGTGTGCTCCTCCATCTGGATGTATCCGGCGGCTTGGGCACGGAGCTCGTCCATGTCCGAGGGAGGTCGCCGACAAAGGCTATCGACAAAGGGACCCGACTTGAGCGCCATGAGCATGGCGTGTAGGGTGACCTCAGGTTTCAGGTTGCAGATCTTGATGGCGATGTTGGCAAATCGCTCCATGAATTTGCGCAACGGCTCATCATCGCCTTGCCGGAGGTTGGCTAAGGTAGCCGAGGTGATGTGGTGGGTCGATTTATTGCATATTGTGCCGTAAACTGCCTGACCAAGGTGTCAAAGTTGTTGATTAACCCTGGTGGTAGTTGGGTATACCATGCGAGTGTCGATCCTTTTAGTGAGGTCAGGAAGACCCGACACAGGATGGCATCATCGTTAGTGTAAAGGTTCAACTAGGTGATGTAGAGGTCGATGTGCTCATCAGGATCGGTAGAGCCGTCATATCTATCAATGTTCAGGGGCTTCCATCCAAAGGGGAGAGGTGTCTCCATGATGCCATCCACGAAGGGGTAGCGGTGGACATTAGCTAGTTGTGACTGAGCCAAGGTCGGTGTGTTGCTGACTTCATGATCCGTTCTTTGGGGCTGGTGGAGGGCCTAGACTCGGCTGAGTTCTTTATGCAGAGGTCAATCGCCATAGTGGATCACTAGAGGTGGCGTTGGTAGAAGCATGAGGCCGAGTTAGAGAAAGCGCGAAAAGGCGTGGCTGAGCTTTCAGCTTTGAGGAGGGATCTCTCCAAGACTCAGAAGTCGTTGGAGGTAGCTGTGAAGGCCAACGAGGCCTAGGCCATCCAGGTCAGCGAGTTGGTGGGGGTCATCAAGTCTGCCAAGGGCGAGGCCGAGGTTGCCCTAGGTTGATTACAGTCATTGGAAAAGGAGAATGCCGCCTTGAAAGTCAAATTACGAGCGGCCGAGGAGAAGCATCTTTGTGATGAAGTGCTTCTTGTTGGTCGTAGCGAGGAGGTCAGTGCCTTGAAGTCAGACCTTGAGGTGCTGGCTTCTTCAAAGAAAGAAGTGGAGAGGAGGCTTCTCGAGACTGAGCGCGCCGTGGCGGTCGAGCATAAGAGGGGTTTTGCTAAGGCGGCTCGTTAGGCCTGGGTAATTGCTCCCGAGGTGGACTTCTCACTGATGCATATTGATAAGGATGTGCAAGATGGGCATTTGGTGAATGAGCATGACTTGTCCGAGAGCTCAAGTGAGAATATCGCTGCCTAGGCTTGCATAGTTTTTGTTCTATGTTTTGTAGTAGTTGTAGCTTGTTTTTATTGTTCGGTTCTTTTTAAACTTTGTAATGAATGTTGATGCAAATATTTATGAAGTGTTGCCTTTGTTTCTTCCTTGTGCGTTGTCTTTATTTGTTAATCTAACTTAAAATTCGTACTTGGCTAGATATGAATCGTACCAAGATATTTGACGTTGGTTAAGTGTCAATTTCACCAAGGTTCGGATTCGGCCTTGGCTTGATATAAGTCTTGCTAAGGTTCGAATTTGACCTTGGTTTAGTGTAAATCGCACTAAGGTTCGAATTCGACCTTAGTTTGATATAAGTCTTGCTAAGGTTCAAATTCGACCTTGGTTTAGTGTAAATCGCACTAAGGTTCAAATTCGACCTTAGTTTAATATAAGTCTTGCTAAGGTTCAGATTCGACCTTGGCTTAGTGTGAATGTCCTAAGGTTCGAGTTCGACCTTGATTAAGTGTAAATCGCGCTAAGGTTCGAATTCGACCTTGGTTTAGTGTAAATCGTGCTAAGGTTCGAATTCGACCTTAGTTTCATATAAGTCTTGCTAAGGTTCAGATTCGACCTTGGCTTAGTGTGAATCGCGCTAAGGTTCGAGTCCGACCTTGGTTTAGTGTAAATCGCGCTAAGGTTTGAATATATATATATATATATTATAAATAAAGAGAAAGATGATATAGCTTATCAATTCCTATTAGTTCCTAACATAGCTCCTCCCTTAAGATAGAAAATACATTACACCAACATGACAAATTGTAACAGGATAGAAGAATTAATATCAGATCATCAAATAGACCCTAAAATTTTAAGTGAGTTAAGTCTGAAAAGTTCACCCACATCAAATAGACTTCAAAACACATTAACAACAAGAATCAAGCCTATATCATTTTAGGATATACATTTGTTTTCAAACCAACCTCACTTATTTGTGAAGCCATATTAACCATGTTTTATATTTCCAATGTGATCTTTTACTCTTTTAAAGGGACACTCACGTTTCCTTTCCCGATTTCAGGGTCATCCTTATGTAAACAACAATTCAGATTAAAAAATTGAAGAAAAAAAAAAAATTAAGTGGTGCTTTTTATTTGTTCAACCTTAAGTATCTTCAAATGTAGTTAAAGTCTTAAGAAGTGCCAACTAAGAGACATTAACTAGCTTTCCCCTTTTCATATTTCATTGCTTAGAATTGAATTCTTACACATTGGATTTGAATTGCAATGCAAGGAGGGATGCCATGATCTTTCGTTCTTTTCTATAAAAAGGTATAGGTTCGGGCATTCACTGGGTCACAGTATTTGTAACCAAATTATGAAGATCATCATATTTTAAAATGTAAAAGTTTATTATGAGATCATGTTGCTAATTCCATAAGCTTTCCAAGTTTTTCTTCCGCCATACTAAAAATTCACTGGATCACATTGGATTTCAATTTTCATCTTATTTAAAATTATCTATTTTTATTTTGTATAATATGTACATATATAATATACTTGCAATTGATATTATAAAATAATATACGTAATATCTACATAGATATTATATTATTAAATATATAATTTAAAATTAATAATATACTATAAAAGTTATTTAAGTTGCATATATTACAAACAAATACATTAGAACAAGTAGTCATTCTTATGTTTAATAAGATTATTTGCTCTTCCATCAATAGATACAATTCTCATTGTTATTTTTGTGATTTGTAGTCCTTTAAAAAATTAAAAAAAATTGTGGTTGAACCGGTTTGACCCACCGGTTCACTAGTTGAACCGAAAAATTGACTGGTTTAATTCAGTTTGAAACGGGTCGAATACATAACCGATTCAACTTAAAATTCGGACTGGCTGGACCACCGGTTCCCAATTCAACCGGTCCGACCAGCCGGTCCGATCCGGTTTTTAAAACATTGCTTTAAAGGATATGTAAATTATTTAAGTATAATTTTATTATTTATTTTAAAGGTTAAGATATGTAAGTTTTGTATCTATATTTTGAACTCATATTATCTTTTTTATCTCATTTATTTTTTTATTTAATTAGTATAAAATTTAAATTTTATATACAAATATAGGATCTATAGAAAATATTTTGGTTGCATGAAATAGTGATAAGACCACATATTTAATTGAAAAAATTGTCTTATATTGATTAATTTGTATACTTATTATATCAATTTACTTTTCTTCACCAAAAAATTTATCAATTTACTTCTTCTATTGGAAATCGTCTTGAACAATTTTTAAATTATGAAACCACGTGTTTAATTTTTCATTTGAATTCTAAAAAATTGAAAACTTTGAATGAGAATGAGTTGATAATATATAAGTCTTACTTTATATTATAATATCGAAAATCATTATTGAAAATGATAACAAATAAAAATAATCAAACTTCACTGTGTTAAATTATATATATAAAAAAATAATATTTATAAATTTTTTAAAAAAACACACACACACACATTACTTTCAAAATATGATTGATAATATTTGTATTTTTTGTTGTTGTTGTTGAAGTTAATGTTTTAAATTAAATTTACTCAAATATCATTTAATTTAACTATTCTAACGAATAAATCGAATGAATGTATGATTTTATATATCGGGAATGAAATATTAGGAATATATTATAAAATCTTGATTAATAATTTTGCTTTAAATAAGAGAGAGAAAAAAACTTATGAATTCTACTATATTAAATTTTAAATATAAATCTTTTCTTTGAATCTTATAATTTCTTGACAGGGCCTTCGACGGTTCGACCTAGTGATGAGGAGTTAAAATAATATATACATCAAATATAAGTTTAAATTCTAATGTAATCATTATAATTTTTTTTAAAAAAATTCTAACACAATTACAATGCCTACTAGATCAATTAATTTTTTTTTTGGTGTTGAGACTCAATTAATTAAAAGTCCAAATACATTAAAATAACAAATAAAAAAATATGAAAGCTTTTTAATCGAGTGTTTAATATTATTTTATTTTATTTTTTCTGCTAAAAACAGGCATCTAAATACAACATTCACTAGTGGCATTAACTAGCAGCAGCATCTTTAAAATCAGCTAAACTTTATATATATATATATATATTAAACCATCCGAATTTATGATAATTTGATTTTCAGTTTTCCTCAACATTCAACAGCTTTAATTCAAAAGATATGAACATTTTCAAATAATGATTTATTCATTTAAACACGAATTGTTACAGCGTTACACCCCCCTCTCCTCCTCTTAAACACATGTGGAATCTCATTCTCTGTTTCTGTTTCATGGTGCAACATCGATGTTTGTCTCTCACTTTTCCATCCACAAAAGTTACCACATCTTGCGGCCACGCCTTTTGAAGAAGTCCTTGTTACCTTAAACATTCAGACACATCAACCTTTAAAGCTTAAACCCCACAGTGGTGCCGATAACCTAGGCACTGCACGTGTTACCCCATACATATTTCATCACAAACTCCCTCTCTTTCCCTTCAAAAGCTCACTCTTTCTCTTCTCTTGTTCACCCTCTCTCTTATCTCTCTTTGAAACTCTCACCTTAACCTTGGCCTTGTTGCAATGGCTGACACTAGTTCTTATGGGCCAACACCTCCGCTGAAAAATGAGCTTGACATTGTGATCCCCACCATAAGGAACCTTGACTTTCTTGAGATGTGGAGGCCCTTCTTTCAGCCTTACCATTTGATCATTGTGCAGGATGGTGACCCCACCAAAACCATTAAGGTTCCTCCTGGTTTTGACTATGAACTATACAACCGCAATGACATCAACAAGCTTTTGGGTCCAAGGGCCTCTTGCATCTCCTTCAAGGACTCTGCTTGTCGCTGTTTTGGCTACATGGTGTCTAAGAAGAAGTACATTTACACCATTGATGATGACTGTTTTGTAAGTTTTTCCACATTCTTTTCATTTTATATTTCTTGGGATCTTAGTTTGTCAATGGAAAAAAACTTACATACATTTACAGATTTACTCGTGTTTTTGGTAATATGCTCAAAATTAGAGTTTTATCTCATAATTTGCGCAATAAAAATTTACATTAAGAATTAGAGTACATTATTAGAGCAAAACTCTGATTTTGAGAACACCTATCTATGGAAATTTTGTCATTTGTTAATTTGTAAGTTTGGAGAGATCTTGATGTAACTTTTTTGAATTGAGTGATTAATTTCACGCCTGCATGTGATGATTTTGGATCTTGTCATTCTGCTTTATATGTCATTGTTATTCTCCAATTGTTTTCAATGTGTAACTGATGCCGATTCTGTTTTACTTTTTATTTGGCCATGGCATGAATTAGATCCATGTTTTATGATTTGTGTGATAATAATCTTCTTCAAGGTGTTTAGTTTATTTGAAGATCTGTTAGTTTGCTCCTCTGTAACATGAGATTTGGAAGTTTTTAAACATTGTTATGAAAATTGGCTTCGTGTTTATTATGTCTGTCTGCTAGGGTGTAATTTTTACCATAAAGCTTTTACATTGGCCCATATTCCACAGTTTTAATTGTGTCTTTTATCTGTCTAATTCACGTGTCACCAGTGTTAGATAGATTTCTAACATCAATTTTAGTAAATAAAATAATGTAGATAGAATCATTTGTAACTGGTGGAATTCACAGGTTCCCTGCAGCCATATTCACTCTGGACATTGAATTTTATCTATTGATTTTATAATCACAAGTCTATACTTTATAGGATTTCATTAATATATAACACTTGCTGCTACTTTATTTATTTTTTAAAATTATGTGATTCACTATTTCTTTTTTTTTTTTTTTTTCTTTGTGGCTTAGGTTGCCAATGATCCATCTGGGAAACCTATTAATGCACTTGAGCAGCATATTAAAAACCTTCTGTGTCCATCCACACCCTACTTCTTCAATACCCTTTATGACCCCTTCAGAGAAGGTGCAGATTATGTTCGTGGATACCCTTTTAGTCTTCGTGAAGGCGTACCAACTGCTGTTTCCCATGGACTTTGGCTCAACATCCCAGACTATGATGCTCCTACACAGCTTGTGAAGCCTCTTGAGAGGAACACTAGGTATGTATAATATATGTACCATGTAACAATCTTAATTAATTATGAACCTAGCTAACAAAAACTATTAAGTTACTGTTAGCCTGTACAAATTTGATTCTAAGTTATGCCACTGTGTATAATAAGGTATGTAGACGCTGTTTTGACCATTCCAAAAGGCACTTTGTTCCCCATGTGTGGGATGAACTTGGCATTCGATCGTGATCTTATTGGACCAGCAATGTACTTTGGTCTCATGGGAGATGGTCAACCAATTGGACGCTACGACGACATGTGGGCTGGCTGGTGCTGCAAGGTCCATTCTTTTTGCTTTATTTTCACTATAACAACAACACAATCTCGTAGAAACATTTAATGCATATTTGGTTATGCTTGAATTGGGATAGACAATCGTTTTTCTTGAAACTTCTCCTAGAAAATTGGTAAAACTAGGCAATTACTCCTTCAAAATAAAATCAGTACTTATTACAGAAGTACTTATATATAAGTTGTTTCCCTAACAAAGAAGAAATAAGGTCAAGAGTCTGTTTGATAAAAGTTTACATTAGCTTTTGAGAGGTTTACTATCGAAAATAAAGAGCGTTTTTTAGAAGTTTTTTATGAAAATAAAAAGATTTTTCTAGTAAAAAGTTCTTAAAAAGTATTTGTACCTTATATCCAATCAGGTTTTAAATTGTTTTCACGTAAGCGATTCTAGACAAATTTTCTCAAACACATACTGATGTTTATGTCATAAAACTCCAATTAAGCTACAAGATAACCTGTGTGTTTTGTTTTATTGTTAACACAAACTTACGTTAAATAAAAAGATAGAAATAATTAATTTATATTTTAATAATTTAGAAAGTGTGTTTTTACATTTCCGTTAAAAAAAGGGTTTTTTAAAACATGCTGTTAATACTTGCATGAATATTATATAGAAAAAAACAATTGAGACATTTTGATGATGATGGTTCAGGTGATCACTGATCATTTGGGGCTAGGAATCAAGACTGGTCTACCTTATATCTATCACAGCAAAGCCAGTAACCCATTTGTAAACCTGAGGAAAGAGTACAAAGGCATATTCTGGCAGGAAGACATTATTCCATTCTTCCAGAATGTTGTTCTTCCAAAAGAATGCACCACTGTTCAGAAGTGCTACATTGAGCTCTCCAAGCAAGTCAAGGAAAAACTCACAAAGGTAGATCCTTACTTTGACAAGCTGGCAGATGCCATGGTCACTTGGATTGAAGCTTGGGATGAGCTTAACCCTGCTGGGGCATCTAAGGCCAAGAAATAAATCAACCTTGGTTAGCAACCAGTGAACTAGAAATTGAACTATTTTTATAATGTATTGGGTTTTTTGAGTGCTTTTCAACTTACAGTTAATGTCACTTAAAGTTTGCAGCATTGCTAGCTGTAATTCTATTTTTCATCTTCATGCTTTGAGCTTAGAAACAATAAAGTACAATGTTCTAGGTCGTTGTTTTCTTGTGATTTTTTTCCTCGAGTAGAAATCGCTGCAGGGCCTTATCACTTGCAAGTACTGAGCAAGTGTCATAGGCAGAATATTAATGTGTGGTTCATTACAGTTTAATAGTGATCGGATTTTTTTGCTGATGTGTTCAGAAAGTTTGATTTCTCTTTCATTATTTTCTGGCACACAACATTCCTTTTCATCATATGCAAGTCTGAATTTATGAAAATAGGAATATAATAATGACCTCCCCTCTCTTGAGAAAGAAAGTGAAAAGTAGAATACTCATTCTATTTAATTCATGAAAGATGGTAAGACAATTAATATGTTCTTGAAATATTTTTTTATAATATTTAAATTTTTAAATTTTAATTTTATTATATAAGTTAGTCTTTTTATTATATTTAATTATTAATTAGGTTAATTTTTTAAAAAATTAGTAATTAAATATTAAGTTGACATTTATCTTTTTCTTAATTATTTTCTCCTAAGTAATATTTCATTTTTTTCACATTGGTTTCACTTTGATATACTGCTTCTACCACATCCCTCGAGTTCTGTGCATTGTGTCCATTTATCTAAGTAAAGAAATTGTAATTACTTGAATAATTCTAGTAAAAACAATCCAAATATTAGACCATAATATGAGGAAAGAAAAAAAAAAAAACATTAATAACATAATTATCATACCATTAACAAAAAACAAGCACATTTAACAAAAAACAAGTGAAAAAAATAACTCTTGAATTTTTAATTGTTTGTGAAATTTTCAACAAAATCTTACTTTTGTAGTAATAGAGAATCATTATTACTTTCCCACTTTTATCAAGAGGGTTTTGCAATTCATTAAACATAGCAAAAACACCTACATTCAATTGATGTATATTTGTTTGAGATCTTCTAAAACGACCACTCATTTTGTTAAACTCCAAATTTAATAATTTAAGATTTATAATACTAAATCTTTAGACAAAGTATACGAAACCTTGAGAAACTCAACAACAAAACTTTCATTTAAACTAAAACACTCTTGACCAAAATGTTTAAACATGACAAAGTGTATATTATTGATTGAAAAGTAACAAAATCTTGCATTATAATTTATATTAGGTGATTAGAAGAGAGAACAACCAACTAAAAGGCAGAAAATATGTGTAAATTTGACAATTAATTGTTGACCAGTCATGATATTGACAAGATTAACAAAATTTGTAATAAAGTATAACAAAAGAACTAACTTAACAAAGTTAAAATTTATGAATTTAAATGCCACAAAGAATCTTTCAAAAATCTATCAACCATCTCTATCATTTTTCAAGAACTAATTGAATGTTTACTCCAGAAAATTTTAAATAAAAATTTTTTGTGTACAATATGTAAAAGAAAATTTTATATTATCAAACAATTAAAAATTATACTTGATGTAACCTTACCAACTATTTGTAATTGGATGACGTGCATATCCAATTTACCCAACAAATGAGAAATTACAAGTTTACAATTGGTTTAGAGAATTGCGGTTGAATTGAAACTATAATGATTTTTATTTATAAAAATCGAACTTCGAACAAGATTTACAATAATTACAGTGAAATTGAAACTAGAAATATTTTTTTTTTCAGAATCGAATTTGATACTAAAAAAAGTCTACAATATATTCCACGCACTCAGATCAATTAATTAAGCCTCTGGATACTCAAAATAGAAACCTATACTTGACGAACACCAACAGATTGCAAGAAATATATCAACTAACTCATTCATATCCGGTATTCTGGTAGAATAATGTTTTCAAGATCAAAATTTTCTGTTACTAGTTGTTACATCAAGATAAGGCTATTGCTGATAATATAGGAGTTGTTTGATTACTAGAGTTCGAGTTGAATTGGATTAAGTTTATGTTTGGATAAAGTTTAAAAGTGTTTTTTTTTAAGTTATTTTACTTAAAATAAAATAAAAATGTTTTTGGAGAAATTTTTTAAAATACATTAATTTATATCCATACATACTCTAAAAGAAACAAAATCCACCTTAACACATTTATATATTTATAACTCAAAACTCCAAACACTCAAAACTCCAAACTGAAATAATTTGATACCAGTTGGTCTATTACTGCATTCTTATACCATATAAACTAAAAGATCATAATAATAAAATATAATTAAGTAGAATTTCACTAATCTTCTTTGTTCCCAAATAACAAAAACATTTATTGTAAAGCAGCTGCAATAGACAGGTAGCCAAGTCCTTTATGTGATTTGGAGGGTGGTGACACTGGTTTAATGTGAAAAAAATTGGTACTGCACCATCAGTATGTAGATGTATTTTGGTATCATTGGATGGATATCATTCAAAGTTTATAATAACCTGTGTCTTGTCTGTACTAAACTCCGTAATTGAGTTAGCAACGGAAATTTATTGTGACATAGGGATCAGTGTACCTTAGCCTTAGGTGTTTGCATGTGATAAATCCGTATAATTTTTGTCTGTGTTTTGGGGATCTGCGTTACTCACAGCCCATGCCATGCCACTGTTCTTTCAGTAGTTTTACTCCACACCGACACCGACACTAGTGGTGATATTTTAGATGGGATTGAGACTCAATGATAGTAGTTTAATATATTTCATATACATTCTACTCTCTTTTTTTTTTTTTTGCCATATTGTATTATTTATTACTAATAGTGTTTTGCACTATCAGGTTAGTCACATCACAGACTGTAAAACGCTGGTACAAATAGCATTTTCTGTGTTTCTTTAAAAAAAAATGCATTTGTCTTTCAAAACCGTTTTCCACCTAAGATATGTAACACACCCTAGATGATGTTACCTTTACTAAGATTTTAGGAAATGTAAATTTTGATTACAAACTACCTAGAGAAAACAAAACGGAAAACTAAAACTAAAATACCTAAACATTCTCTAATACATCAAATATAAATCCATCGTAACTTAACAGTCATGCAAAATATAAAACTAAGGTTTCTAAACATAAAATAATCTTCGAGAGATATAACAACTAAATTACTTATTGTTGTAAGAAACTTTAAGTTATATGAAGAGTGTATTTATTTTCTCAACTTATAAAACATGAAACTTTTAAAAATAAGACATCATCTAGTTCATTTAAGATTAGACTACTTCTATTATCTTAATATTTTTCACTTTGTTCTCTTAATTTTACTTATCACGTAATCTTTAAAAGTCACTCATGTTTAAAATTGAACTTGAACTATTAAATATCACAACCTTTTCTTAATCACTTTATTGGTGCTATCATCTGTTTTCTATTACTCACTAGGTTAAAGTATTTAACTTGTTAGTGGTTCTATTACTTTCTTAATTGGATATCTAGATTTAATCATTTTTGTCAAATCTAAAATCATCATTACTCTTTGGCATCTTAGCTTAATCCTTGACCTTTTGTATATCTTATTCTAATTTTATTCATTCTTTTGTATACGTCTTCTTATTGCATAATGGAGGATTTACATTTTCTTTATCTTTAACCTTAACTCTACCTACCCTTATGGGACTTGCATGAACCTTTACTTAGGTACAACCCCTCTCACACAGGGTATCCTACCTCACTTAACAAATAGGTGTACATTTTCCTAAATACCCTTATGTGTGTATTTATCTTTTGTCTTTTCTTTTTGTACATTTTTTGACTAAACTCTAATAGTTTATAGATGTCTCTCTTATTATGACCTCTAACGACCACCAATAAAAAATGGTTGAACTATTTTCATTATTCAATAAAGTTTCCTTTAATCTCTTATTTATATCCCATTTTTTATTGGAGCGACTTGTGACCTCTTATTTATATATGGCTGAACTTTAAAAGGTTAGATTACCTTCCATAATCGAAAGGTGATCCCTCTAACATTTTTCCCTTATAAAAAAATAGTAGCACTTTCTCTTGGTCTAAAAAGTGACAACCCTTTTTCCAATGACACAAAAAGTCTCCTAGCCCTTTTCTTACAAGTTATCCAAAGTTGTATAAAACATCATCCCTCTAAAGCAACCTTGAAAATCCTCTCTACGACTTGCACAATCATTAAAAGTTGAGGATGCAACTTAAACATGAACAAAACCAAGGAGGTTCTATTGTTACTAAGGACATAAATTTATTTGAAAACATTCATTTTCTTTAAAACAATTCATTTTTCCTTTGAAAACCTTTGTATAAGCTTTGGGGAAGCTCCTAACCTTTGCTAAGGAGACATAATCAATGTATCTTAAGTGTCTTAAGTATTTTTTTACGAAGGGTTTATCACTGTTCTCACTCAACATAACACCAAAGACAACCCTAGACAAATACAATAACCACTTGAATGTGACTAATACACAATCTAAGCTACCACTATACAAATACACACTAAGATACCAATAAACATATATAATACAAAGAAACAAACATAAAAACAAATAATTAACTCATACAACTTTCAGTTAGTGTGTGCGCCTAGCGCTTAGCACCACTCTTTCACATGTAAGTCCTTTCTTATTAGGGCATTTTTGTTTAGTAAGACTCATGCTTTGCTTAGTGAGACCCTTTTTATGTTTCTCTAGAAGGTTGCTTTCACTCAGTAAGGACTACCTTTGCTTAGCAAATTGCTCCTAAGGAGATTCATTGTTCTCTTAAGTTATTTGCTAAGCGAGTATGATGCTCACTCAACGAAATGACAAGGTTATAGATTTATTCATCTGAAACTCCTTTGATTAGAGAAAATGGCACTTTCTAAACGAATCTATGTATTATATATATCTTGGTCAACATTTTCTTAGCCTAACAAATAGTGCATTGGGTCATTAACTTATACCTTGAAGGTCTTTCACTTAATAAGAGCTATCTCGTTGAAAGAATTTGGGGTTTTGCATAACCATGACTTTTTGCTAGTATTATTTGTAATCCCGAATTTTCTACTAATATAATGGTTGATTATTATTTATTTTTATATTTATGGAGATTATTTTCTTATAATTATTTTAATTAATTAAATGAGTTTTATCGAATATTTTAGAAGTTTTTAATAATTATGAGTATTTTAATAATAAATATTTATGAAAATTATTTTGTATTATATTTTAATTTTTAGTAGCCCAGAACGGACCGTTCCCAAACTAGAACGAGC